CATAAATTGGGGAGTTGGACCTCGATTTGAGGTCCGATTTCAAAACAAATTATATATTTGAACTCGTGGGGGAATGGGTAACCGGATTTTGGTTCGAACCTCGGGTTTTGACCACGTGGGCCCAGGGGCAATTTTGGAATTTTTGGGTAAAAATTGGGAAATTCATTTTTATGCATTCAAATTGATTCATTTAGTGTTTTAAAGTAATTGAGCAATTTGTGACTAGATTCGAGCGGATTGGAGGTGGAATCACGGGGTAAAGCCATAGTTGAGGCTTGAGTCGAGTTCAAGGCTTTGAGGTAAGTGTTTGGTTTAACCCTAGCTTGAGGGAATAGGAGTTGAGTCTTGCTTGCTACTTGCTAAGTGATCGAGTACGATGTATAGGCATGGTGACGAGTATCTATACATTGGTGTCTAGCATGACCGTGAGTCCTCATAATGCGATTATCATGTTTTGGTTGTAATTTTCGTGCTTATTTGAGGATTTCTATATGTTGTAAAGAACGCGTGAAAGACAATAAGATCATTTGATTTCGTGGAGCATTGGCTCGAGTTGTGATACGAATTTTGAAGGTATACGAAATGATCCGATTCTTGGGAGCGTTGGCTCAAATGATAAGGTGAATTATAAGGTAAGAATTGAAAGCAAGAGAAAGAGTTATTGGTTATTCCCTTGCCGGGATATTGAGTTTATTGATATTGTTCCCTTGCCGGGATTGAATTGTTTGACTGTATTCCCTTGCCGGGAATTCTTCCAATACTTGTTTACTTCATTGCCCCTTATTTGTGACCGTTGTTTGGGTGAGGTAGAATGATAAATGATATGGAACGGGTTGCACGCCGCAATAATGATATTTGAGGATCGGGTTGCGCGCTGCAACATTGGTAAATGATATTTGAGGATCGGGTTGCGCGCCGCAACATTGATAAATGAGGTGGATCGGGTTGCGCGCCGCAACATTGATAAATGATATGGATCGGGTTGCACGCTGCAACAATGGTATTTGTGGACCGGGTTGCACACCGCAACAGTGTTGAAATATTGGGGTCGAGTTGCGCGCCGCAACAGTTATTGATACAAATGTGTTTATTTTGGGTAATAGTTTCTTGTTTGCTGTAAATCCTAAGCTGCTCTTAGATTGTCACACTGGATTCCTGTTAATACTGTTATCTCCCCACAGCATGTTTTCCCCTCCCATATTGTTACTTGCCTTGTATTTTGATTTCTGCTGTATATTTATAATTGCACAGATCTATGTGGTGTCCAGTCTAGCCTCGTCACTACTTCGCCGGGGTTAGGCTAGACACTTACCAGCTCATGGGGTCGGTTGTGCTGATGCTACACTCTGTGCATTTTTTTGCACAGGTCCAGGTTTCGAGCAGCAGCAGCAGCATTAGCACGGGAGCAGGCTTTCAGTATCGTGAGACCCGAGGTAGCCTTGCAGACGTCCGCAGGCCCGGCGTCTCTCTCTTATTCTCTCTTTTAGACTGTTGCCTCTTTGTATTCGAGACAAACAGCTTATGTGTTCTTTCATGCCCTTGTATTTAGAAATTCTTAGCAGTTCGTGAGTATTGTGACACCAGTCTTGGGTAGAGGCTTATATTGACCACTCCGTGTTTTATTCAGTTTCTATAATTAAGACTTCCGCTACTATTTAATTTCGTTGTTTTATATTGTTGCCATAAATTGTTAAAAAGATTTGTTTATTAATGGAAAAGTAATTAAATTGGCTTGCCTAGCTACTACGAGTAGGCGCCATCACGACTCCCGAGGGTGGAAAATCCGGGTCGTGACAGACAAAGGCAAAACATATCACCTAGAAATAGCTATAAAAGGGGCAACCTGATCATTTGTAAGGACACGAA